GGCGTCGCCGGCGGAGCCGGATGGCCCGGGCCGGTGCCTGTCGCTGCTGCCCTGGGACCGTTTCTCGGCCTGGCTGCACTGCGTGTGCGTGGTGGGCTTCGACCTGGAGCTGGGCCAGGCCGTGGAGGTACGTGAGGCGGCGGGAGCGCGGTGGCCGGTGGGCTTGTGGGCTCCGTTCCCTGCGGGGGCGGGCGGCTCTGCGGCAGGGCCCCGCCGGAATCGGGCGCTTCCTCTGGTGCCGGTGTTGCACAGCGGCGGGGGAAGCCCGGCGGCGTTGGGAGAGAAGTGCGGTTGTGCAAAATCCCCAAAGGGCGACTGAGGGGAGGGAGCGAGCTCCGGCCGGCTCTGGCAGAGCGTGCGGAGAGAGCGGGAGGGAGTCTTGGGTGGCAACACAGCTCTCGCGGAGCGTGAGGTGAGTTTCGTGGTTCTCAGGGAGCTGTTTTCGTTCTGCCGGTTGTCACATCAGCGAGCCGTTGAGAACGGTTTATCCTCTCGTGCCAAGATTTGCGTTAAATACATCGTCGGCTCGCTTTACATGCGGGTGGCACTGATTTCCATGACATCTACATGTTCAAGTTTTCGAAAGAGTGCAATAATAACGTCAGTGCGAGTAGTCTTCACAATTAATAGTTTTCTCCAGATCGCTGAGGTATGCAAACACATTCCTTAAACGTTTGGAGCGTTTTCCTTGCACCATTAAATGAATGTCAAACTGCGGCAGCGATGCGTTAGTGACGCTGCCACGAGCGGCAGGGTTTTTTTAACTCCCTGCTGCTCTTTGCCGTTTTGTGCAACAGGCAGACATCTATGAAATTGCGTATGAAACTGCATTAGGGAACTGGCTGGGCTGAAAAATAAACTGGAAAGAAGAATTATCATTTGGATCAGTTTCACATCGTGTTTCACCATGTTCACCCTATGACTGTGCAGCAAACGGTGTACAGGGAAAAATGTATTGTCTTTTTCTTTTTTTTTTTGTTTTTTTTGTTAAAGTGGTGCTAGCATAACTGTACGGCAGACTGACCTAAAATTCAACCAAGCTAGCTGTTACAGTATTTAAAATACATAAGTGATGTGCATTGTTGGCTGTAAGAGGAATGCAAATAAAAAACAGGATACTGTGCTAATTATCTAAATTATATTCACTTGATGTTATAAGGTGTTCTTAGCAACAAAGATGAGCGTTTCTTTATAACCTGTGACTTAAGCAGATAATGTGCTCGGTGTCTGAGGGAAGCACAGAATAGGCTCTGTCCTGTCTGCAAACAATTCTGTTAACACTCCCATTAATTTTAGTTGAATGGGTGCATAAAATGAAGCTTAAAATGTCTACGTAACTAAGGCTTGAGATTTTTCAGTCATGTTGCTGCAGGAAGAGTAACTAGCTTTTAGTTTCAATTGGAATTCTGGGAAGATACACCAGCTAGTGAGGAAAAGGAGTATTTTCAAGTCTGGTCTGTACTCCAGTCATCTGACTAGATGCAGATCATTTCAGCATAAATCAGCTGCTGAAAGAGTTACATTTGAGTGTATTGCTTAGCATAAGATAGCATAGGAAAAAGTTAAGAGATTTAAAAAAGTTGGTGGTAGGTTTACTAAATGCAGTATGCAGGTATTCCACTCATGTCTACTTTTAGTTTTGGTGAAACTGACAGTATGTTGTATGGCTGGATGTCATTGGATAGAAGACTGAGGGAAAAATAAATGAATTGGAGACTTTATGGCCAGGGGACAGAGAGCCTGCTTAGTCAGAGACCAGCCAGTGGATATATTTGTTGTTTTCTATAGAGTAGGATAGTGTTGTATTATTAGGAGATACATTTATTTACGTTTTGTCAAACAAGGTTAAATTAGATAGCTGGATGTTAGCAGCATGGTAATATGAGGACTCTAGACTACGTTAGTGTTCTTGCATTGAACTTCAGTTCTTAGAGTAAGTTCCCACCTGCGGAAGCCCTGAAACCTTCTTTGGAACATAATCTTTGAATTTATATTGAATTTTCTTTGCTAGCCACCCATTTCAGTAGTTTTGGGGGTTTTTTTTGAGGAAGTTTTTAGCTGAAATTTAAGTATCTCAGGTTTGTTCTCTTTTCTCTATGTTCTTTTCCGCTTACTTGCATAATCACTGATTTTGTACATCCAGGTTTTTTTTTTAGAGTGCTTCCTTATCTTACATTGTATTGCATCGTTTTTGATTTCTGCACTGTAAAAACATATTAAATAAATTTACTTTTTTTCTGTCTGTACAAAAGCTGTGGCTTTTTGAGTGTATTCCTCAAGCTTTCTCGGTTCCCAGCTCTCATTTGGGGTCAATTTTCATCCTCCAAGAGTTAGTATTAACGTAGAAGGTGTTTTGTGACTGAATTTTGATTACTCCCACCTAACCATTCATTGCAGCAGATTTTGGACGCTAATGTGTTCTTGGCTTTCTGTGGAATTTTCTACTGAATTTTGTATGTAAAAGTTAAATCTAAAGGGTGTGATGTTGCTCTCTTTTGAGTCTTGTTGCACCAAAAATCTCAAGTAATATGGTCTCCAACTGGCATCCAAAATACCTTGTAAAGATGGGTGATCAAGTTAGCTTAAAAGCATATGAAAAGTAAGAACAGAGACATAATATTAGTAGCTTACTATTGAAAATAGCCTGAGGCTAGGCAGGTGTTCGAGAGTTGTATCATAAAAATATTTAATAGAAGCTTACTGATTATACCCAGTTTATTTTCAAGTAAAATAATACTTTTTTCCTGTAGGTAATATATCCTCTACATTCAAAACTCACAGATAAAGAGGTGAGTCATGGTTGCTGTATAAATGTATCATTTGGTTTTACTTTAGTAATTTCAGGAAATATAATGGTGCTCTTTTCTTTTCCCCACCCTTTAGAAAACCAATATTTGCTATTTGTCTTTTCCAGATTCTAATTCAGGTAAGTGCTTCCTTCACTTTGTAGTCATCTGCTGTTGGACTAAGCTGTCTTAAAAAAGATAGAATTTGACAGTATATATTAATGCTTTTAGATTAAATACTTATATGAATATCTTAATATTACAATATGGCAAAGTTGCAAATAAGGTTAAATATAAAACTGTAATCACCTGTATTGCAGTAAGGTCTGAGAATTCTTTGTTATTTTATGCAAGTGAAATATCAGGCATGTGAATGTCCAGATGACAGACATGCAGACATTTCAGAGTACTTTGCAAGTAAAGAATGAACATCTTAATTTGGCTTTTAAACAAAATAATGATATTGGCACTGTAGAGGAGAGTGTAGGCACATAATTTGAAGGGTTTAATAAAGCAAATGGAAGGGATATGGAACCCTCTTCTCATAAAGGAGTCAATGTGTATTTTCTAAATTCATAGCAGCAAAACTGACTTTTAAATTCAAAAGCATTTGGAAAGAACAGTTGTGAAGGGAAAACCTAGCCTATCCTATATCTTCTCTATTCCTGATGCTTCTGTTGCTGTGTGTGGTCCTGCTTGCTAAATTCTTCTTTAATCTAAACTTCTACTGTTCTGCTGCCAAAGAGAAAGTGGAGGCATGTGGCTGATGACTTGGACCACCTGCAAAAAGATATGGCAGAAGTACAGATGCTTCCGTTCACATTTATTTCTTTACAAAAGTCAAAACCTGTAGTAACAGACTTGTCCCTATAACTGCTTTTGCTCTCTGCTTTTGGTTGCTCTGCAGCATAACAATTCTGATATGGGGTGATGGCAGTTGTGTGCTTTTAATGTGCGTGAGCTCTCTTACGTAATTTTACAAAATATCTTGGCTAATTTTCCCCCTTTGTCTTAATGTAATTAAAATGAAGGTTTTTTCTCTGTTCTTGATATCTTGTGTGTAAATAGAGGAAGAGCTTGAAAGAGAAGATGAGCTAACTGTATCTTCTTATTACTCTCATTGTTAATGGTTATAAATCTGTCCAACCTTCAAAAGGTGTATTGAAGGTACAAAATAATGCATCAGGAACAAAGGCTGATTTTTTTTTAAATTTGGGGGGGTTGGTTTTGGTGGTTGTTTGGTTTTTTTCAAATAAGAGTGGTAGCAAAACTATTTTAGGCAGAATAGGTATATGTAAGGACGGTTTACTTTCAGCAGGAAAAAAATTCCCACATTTTTGCTTTTTATAAGTCCCTGTTAAGAACCTGTAGGTTCTTGATCGTTCTTGGAAGGCTGAAGTTTCAAATTATGTAGAGGGTTTACCTGCCTAAAACCTGTGTTCTCGAAATTAGCTGGGAGTGTATGCTTTCTGTTATGATTTATTTTTTCACTGTAGGCTGTAACATAAAAAGAAAAGCTTTGTGTAATATAGCAATGAAGAAAGTTACTAGCTTGCAGCTAAATTTGAGGTCAGTCTTTCTTAGGTTTTCATGGCTCAAAAGATGAATTCAACTTTTTGTTTTTGCTTTTACAACTACAAACATATCATTCTAGGACTTGTAATGGCTATGAATTTAGGGGAAAAAATTGATTTAATCAGGTACTAGATCATGACACTTTTTGTGTTTTTAAGCTAAGTTTCATAGTGCAGTTATCTTTAAAATAATGCTTTTGCCTCTTCTGCATGGACAGTTGAAGAAAGAATAGACATTTACCAATCTTTTTAAATTCTACATACCAGAAGAGCTTGTTAAATAAAAAGCCATCATATTATGAATGATACTGCAACATCTTAATGATTAAGGGTAATTTACTTCTAGCTCTTCTGTGTATAGCTTTTTATAATAGCTTTTTGGGGGGGGGTGGTGTAAAGGGAACTAGCGATGAAAATTTGGAGCAGATGTTTAGTGCTGTGTTATTGGCATGTGCTGTGTTTTTTTCTTGTTATGATTGGAGCCATATTGCTAAGTACTTGCTTTAGTTACCTGTTTGAATTGGATGGTTATCACACCATACAGTGTTTTGCTACTTTTGGTTTTGTTTTGGCGTGTTGTGGGTTTCCTGCTGCAACTTCACGGGGTTCATAAGACTCAGACCTGAATGCTCTGAACATGCCAGTACTAATCCACACTGCCAGTTGCACAGCCAGCGAATTTGACTGAGGGTTTGGGCTGTCTGTGGTTGCTGAAGCAGTATGTATGTGACTGAAAGAGAAGAAGATGAAATTGACCTTCTAAGTCTGAAGAATAGTTATCTGGAGAGTTCTGCGTTACTGTTTAGTCAATTAGCGCTGGCTGATGTAAGACAGGACAGCTGTGGAGAGTTCGGATGACCAGTAGTGACTTAATGATTTTTTTTTTCCTGGAGGTCTTATGCAAATTATGCCCAAAAGGTGTAGGAGCAAAGCACTAATGAAGAAGTTAGATTCAGTGTGGAGAAGCAAGTGTCCTTTGCCAGGACTTACTGCTATAATAGTAGCTACAAGTTTAACAGTAGATTAGTTTTTATAGTCACTTACATGAACGTTTACATGGTTGCGGGGAAGATAGTCTGCTTACCACAGGTTGGCAACGCTCAGGAGGTTGTCTTTCAATTGATGGTGTTCATGTTAATAACACTGCATTCCAGAGGGACTTTTTTTACAGGTTTGCTAGAATGAGTAAAATACCTGAGTGTTCTGAAGATTCTAGCAGTCCCCCGTATGACTATTCCCATGAACAGCACGTTCTGTTCAGCTTATATAGCTTCTACTTGAACTGAAGTTTTTTTGGAGCTTCTCTTTTAACAGCAGACAACATTTGTAATGGTGAGAACACAGCCATGACAGTATCAGTGATACAAGTTCTGATACTGTAGTTCTCATGTTCCACCTGGAGAAAGTTTCTTTGATATCTGATACAAATTCAGCCCAAATTTATTTTCAGACTGTAAATAGTCAATATACTTAGTTACATTTCTCTTTCAGAAAGTAATTTTGACAGAAATTAAGGGAAACTTCACTCCTTGGGAGTATTACTGGGAAGTAGGACTCGGTTTCACTGAGTTTTCTGCAGTTAGTTTTGCGACTTTCAAAAATACTGGGTCCTAGGCCTGCACATGGAGTTATAAGAGATCAGCATAATACACTCTTATGGTGTGACTTAACGTATGAACTGTTTGGTGTCAAAAAAAGGCTAAGTGCCGTCATTCAACAGAGAAACGACATGTGGTTAAGATGATCAGAACTATACAGGCAGACCAATAAAATGTGGAATAACAGTAGGAAGACAGCCATTAGTAGAGCTGTTTAAGGACATGACAGTCTAATAAACTCACTGTGAGGCCAAGTGACTTTTTTTTTCTTGTTGAATGTAGGGTATTTATCATTGCCAAAGATGCCAAATCATTCACTTGTAAAAATATAAATATGTAAATGGTCGCAATGGCAGAGCATTGTAGCAGTGCAAGATAAATGAACCAAAACTATTATACCTCTTTGGCTGTAATCAAGTCCTCATGTTAAACAAGGCTCAAACTCAGAGTACTGTCTATTTGTTGTTTATCTCTTCCCCCTATGTAGGTTGTCTTGGGGACACACAGTTTTGTTTTAGATTTCGACGGTCTACTGGAAGGAAAGTCTCATTTTGTTGTTTTCTGGACCAGTTGGATAGAGATCTACCAGTTTACTTAAAGGTTGGAAATAAGAAAAAATGAAGTTAATTTCTTTTGGGTAATGTTAATTTATGGGTCTTTACGCTTAGATTTAATGTTTGAAAAACAAAATCTCTGAAATGGATGTCCTGAAAGACAAAGCTCAGCAAATGTTTTTTGTAGCATGTAATTATCATAATTATTAAGTAATAATAATTACGTTAACTATTCTTTAAATTTTATTACTATGTATGTGTTTTGGACTGCAAGAAATTACTTTGAAGACCAGACCTATTTTGTTACTGACTGGAAACCTGTAGATGAAATTGTAAAAACGATTACCTTTTTGAAAATCTGAAGTGCTTTATAACTTTAAAAAAAAAAAAAAAAAGTTGAGATGTCTCTCTCTGTTTCTACCCTTCCTTTTTTGAAGATGGAGCAGTTACCTAAAAGAGGTAGTGGCCAAAAAGGTGTTCTTAGCATGTCCTTAGGGAATATTGAGGCCTTTAACTATGCTAGTGGGAGTCTGATTCCCAGACTCAGTTTAGATCTGTTTATGTGGCAAATACTTGAATTCCTGTTTGTAGGAAGAATGAAGCTGATGCTCTGTCTTTGAAATGCAAAAGCATGCTTCCTTTAATATTCCAAGAATCTTTTATAAAACTAAGAGATTGAAAGACTAGTTTTTATCTTTTCAAGTCAGGGCTTTAAGGTTTTTAACTGCTAAAATCTTTTTAGTGCTACTTTGCAAAATTATGAGTGTTGATTTATTCCTCAGGAAATTAATTCTATTTTTGCTTTCATAGTGCGTCAGGAGAATATAGATATAAAAATAGTAAAGCCAGAAAGCACAGCTGTTTTCAAACAGTGGTGTTTTCTCTTTGAAGTACTTATTAAAAAAAAACCCTGCCAATAAATAGAGTAATCCTTCTAATTTATTGTATCTAATGATCTTTGGAGCTTCCAGAGAAATAAGCTTTTAAAATGCATATTGAATGCTTCAAAAAGGACAGTATCAGGTGGTTGTATTGAATTCTTTCCTATCTTTTGCAGAAAGATCCAGCATATTACTACGGCTATGTATATTTCAGACAAGTTCGAGACAAATCATTAAAAAGAGGCTATTTCCAGAAGGTAATTTCAATTCTTTTAGGAAAATGCTAATTTGGAAATCAATTATTTTTCAGTGACCTCAGAGGAGCAGGAAGAATATCTTGCTCTCTTAACTAAATTCGTTGTTGATTTATAGTAAATTGTTCTAATTTTACATCAGCTATGCTATGTTCCAGCTGCACTGTCAGAACAGAAATTTTTTGGTGTGTTTAAAAACAAACAGTTGGGAACTTTCAGGAGTTGTTTGTTTGCAGTTGCCTGTAGTCAGATGTGTGGTTGGCTTGCAGGTATGAGAAAAATCACACTTGATGCTCTCTGAGGATAACCAGTAGAACTGCAATAGAACGGAGGGCAAGGGTTAACTTAAAATTATTTTTTGTTTTGTTACTGTCTATTCTAGTCACTGGTCCTCATCAGCAAGCTACCTTATGTCCATCTTTTTCGCACCATGCTTAAGCAAATAGCACCAGAATATTTTGAAAAAAGTGAAGCTTTCCTGGAAGCAGGTACTGGTACTATTATGTTGTTCTGGAAGAGCTCTTATAATATCACATACTTCTTTTGGAGAAATAACAAACACCGCTGTCACATTCTAGTTTGTGTTTCTGTCTTCTTGCAGGCTAGAGGGTTGAAACTAGCAGACTGGCTGATTTCTAGATCAGTGGACAGAGCTAATCTGATTTTGGATTCTCCATGGGAAAGCTGAAGCTCCCCCCTAATAAAACACCTAGGGTTTTGTTGTATGTTTCAGGACCTGCTGTTCAGCAGAAGTACCTGATAGCAATCCTTAGTTTGCACTCTTCACAAATTTAGTCCTCTTGGGCATTCTGACAACTTCTGTTAAGCAGCCCGTACAGATGTCATCTTGTGTGGGGGTTTCTTGTTTGGGGGGGGGTTGGTTTTGGTTTGGGGTTTTTTTTTGACCAAAGGGAAAAAGCAACAGCAGCATCGATAACAGGTGCCTCAGCCTTGCTGTAGAACTTTAAGAGCCAGAGGGGGCCAAATGGGAAAGTTATTTGCTCTTTACCTATAAATGCTGTGTTCTTTGTACTGTGTCTGCCCTATATAACTCATGTCTTTGTGCTTTCACTGAGCAGCAATTTGTGGAAACCATTCTTGATGAAGGAATTGTATTTTTTAATCACCTGTAGATAAACAGGGTTTTTTTGACAGGTTGTATTATGAACAAAATAAGCTCTGCAGAAACTACTAGAATTAGTAATGATATTCATAATTTTTTACAACAAAATGCTGAAAAACTTTCTAGCCAAGCTAGAAAGCTAGCTTTTTCCTTAACTGCTTGTGTTCATCTGTTCTACCATAGCAAATGTACATAAATGGGTGTTCTTTTCAAAGTTTCTTAGTATGTACTTTCATGTTTCTCATGCAATACTTTTTCAACTAATTGCAAGTCTAGTTGCTACAAAAAATGTAAGACAAGAGGATACTGTTTTCTTGAAATAAAAACTTTATAGTTCTAACAAAATAATACATTAAGAATGTCAAAAAGGCTGTAAAACTTCTTTGGAGTTAGAGTGATTAAGAGATAAGTAGAACTGTTGTGGGCTGTCAGCACTAATTTAAAAATTACAGTGTGCACAAAGATGACTACAATGTCATGGGTTATAGTGTATATAAACTAGTTATAAATTATACTTTTTTTTTCAAGTTTGTAGCGATGTTGATCGTTGGCCACCACCAATTCCAGGGAAAATACTGCATTTGCCTATTATGGGTATTATAATGAAGGTAAATACTCCTGCGCTTATTTTTCTCTGAGCATGTTTTCCCCTCTGTTTACTGTATAGGTGCTCACTGTATTCTGCCTTGTTTTCAGTGTCTCATACTTCAGAACAGGAATAGATGTATACTCCCCTCAGAGTTAAGTTCTGGGAGATCTTGATTACATTCCTTGTAATGGAGGGAAGGATCTTTTATGGTGCATAAGATAACATGTAATTTTTGTAGATGTTAAAAAGCCATGTTTCAATACAGCTACTAATTGCAGTGTCTGTATTATCCTTCTGGAATATGGATTCCAGGAGACTTTAATGCTAATTATATTTGTCAAATCAAACATTAAGTAAGACTTCAAAATACTGAGAATTAAGTTCCAGTTAAGCAATTTAAATATATTGATGAAAATAATTCTTGTTCCTGAAGTTTGACAAGTAAAAATCTTTTTTGGCCCACACATCAGAAATTAATTTCTTGGTCTGTTGATAATTTTCAATGAAAGTGAAATACGTCTGAAGAAAGCTATTAAAGAAGTTGTATCTAGTGCATGGGGAGGAACTGTGGAGGTTAAATGGTGGCTAAGAACTGAGCCTCTGGGAGCCATAGCATCTTCCTATGAAATGCAATTAAATGCATTTGATGGATCCAGAGGTTACAGTCGGAAGTACGTTCTTAGCAGATACTCTCAAGTTTATGGCTAGACGCATGTACATCACCAGGGAGAGGAAGGGAAGTTTCTGAAGCTGTTCTGAAAGCACAAATTTAATAAAGCAGTGTTCTGGATGCTCGATGATAATGATGAGTGTCAGATATGTCTTGTTTGGGTATTGCCTGCATTTATCTCATCAGTAATTCTTATCCATGAGAGTTCAAATTGTGTTCCTAAACGGAGTAGAGCCATAATTACCATCTTCAGTGATACTGTCCCTGGTTTTTTACACTGCTTGGGCAGTCAGTTTTAATTGTTGTGTATAAATTACATCTATTTGCGTGCACCAGCTTCTAGTATGATTAAATTTGTAGCACTCAAGACTTACAGATGCAGACTGAGATCAGAAAAATGATATTTCTGTTGTTCAGTCTATTTGGATTCTGCCTCATACCCACTGGGATGTCTGATGTTTTAGGAGAGGATTTTTTTTATAAAAGTAATTCTGTACCACCTTAAAACCCCATAACCTTATTTCTGATCATTCTCTCCAACATTTAAATGTATTTTTATTGAAATTATTTTAATAGTTGTGACTAATGTTATCAATAGTCTTTTTTAACTGAAGTATAATTTTCATATCCTAATACTCAATTTGCAATGTAGTACTACATAGTATTGCATATTGATTCCTGTAGCAATGATCTATAGTCTTCAACTATGTATTCATTGTTATGTGGATGTCGTGTAGAGTAAATTAAGCATTGTACTGTAGTACATCCTCTTTAAATGATACATCTTGTCTGTAAGTCAGTATTTTAAGTCTCTGCTGAATTCGATACAAGGAAAAAATAATCTTTCTTTTTTTTTTTCCAAAGTTGCGGATTCCAACATATCGTGACAAGCCTGGAACAACACCAATAGTACAGAATATGCACCAGGTAGAGATTAGTTACTTCTATTGTATATAACCCCAAGGCAAAACTAAATATCTGCATTCATTATTTTACTTTAAACTTGTCCATAAACGATTGGTAGCAAATCCTTATATACTTTGATAATAACGAAATCCCCAGTCTTTAAAACTTTGAGTGGAGGAGTCTAGAGCTGGATTCTTCACAGGAAAGGTATTCTAACCCAGTTACCCCAAGTACTTTAGAAGAGGGATGTCTGGCTCCTGGAAGAGGATATTTGGCTGACAAAATTACTGAACGTGCACATCCTTCTAATGGGTGAAACTATACTAAACTAGGGTTTTTTTGAGGATGAAAACTGAATTTAAAATCTTTAGCTTTAGAAGATGGATGTAAAAAAGATCTGCCTGTGCCTCCAAGTGTTGTATGACTGTTTTCTAAAACAGCTTCAGTATGTTATCTCCTTTCTGGACTGAAAGTTGCATGCCTATAAGTGGTGTGTGTGTTGGGGAAAATCTTGCTTTTAGCACACAAAAATAATTACTTGTGGAGATAATGTAGTACATACTGCAGTAGTACAGTAGTGGTGATTAGGGTATATACCATCTACTGTCTGTAAGCGTTTAAGGGAAACTATTTAATTTAATACCTAGGTATTCCAATGACTAAAAACCAAGCATTGTGATGTCTTTTAGGCAGATGCTCAGATCTCCATGGCTTTACCAACTGTTCATGAAGTAGATCTTTTCAGGTAGGAGTTTGGACTGATTTATTTCTAGTTGTGAATTCCCACAAGTCAAAGATTTATGATGGTTCCATAACACATATCTCATAGCTTGTAAGCTAGCATTTATCAGTATTGGTTTTAATATTCTTTTTCTGTAAAGCTGGCTAAAAACCAATTCAAACAACATGCAGGCTGAAACTGCAATAAATAAGCAAGGTCATTAAGTGTTCCATTTTACAAGAGTATTTTATATGTTTCAAATGACTACTAAATACTACTGCAAACTTCCTTTTTATCCAGTTCTTATTCAAATACATATTTCTTCTGGTTATGTTAAGTGTATTAAAATACCTCTGTCTGGTTTTAGGTGTTTCTGTCCAGTGTTCTTTCACATTCAGATGCTTTGGGAACTAGTACTACTAGGAGAACCACTTGTCGTGATGGCACCATCACCATCAGAATCTTCAGAAACCGTGTTGGCACTTGTTAGGTAACTAATGATTGAGCGAGTCATTGTAGATTGTAGCTGAGTGCAAGTTCATTTGATCTGAATATAACAAAGCATTACAAATTTTAGATTTGCTTGTTTCTTTCATGAAATTTTGCACTGTATACATACAACACGCTTATCCTCTTTCTACCTTGCAGCTGTATTTCACCATTAAAGTACTGCAGTGATTTCAGGCCATACTTTACCATACATGACAGTGAATTCAAAGAATATACAACTCGCACACAAGCCCCGTAAGTAAATCAAACTTTGTAGTGAAGGTGTTCCTCAAAGCCACTCGTAACCATAAAGATGTTTTAAGATACTGCTTAACTATTCTGAATTTCTATCATTAGAGAATTACATTTAGACCCTTTATTTATAAGATTTATCTTGCAGAGTGCATTAATTAGCTGTTTTAAGTTTTCACTCCAGTTAGATAGGATAAAGCAGTTATGAAGCAGCGTCATAATTAAACTACATTTGAGCTTCATAGGATACTTGTGTACAGAATAAGGAAAACTGCAAATATGAGAGCAAGAAGAGTTTTGCTTTTCCGTAAGGGTTTGTGTATGCAACACCAGCTCTGTAGTAGCTTCTTGGGAAATTGTTCTGTATTTGTTTTTATTTTTGAGCAATTGCATTCTAGAAGTCACTTTGTTTAGTAACATCTGTACAGCTCTTTCATAAAGTTAACCCAGTGGGTGTCCTAGTTGAGTGAATAATTTATAAAAGTAAATATCTCTTAATTAAACATGTTAGAAAAATGTTGTAAATAATTCAGAATTAAGATTTCTTTTTTAAGAGCGTAAGTTTACAAAAACAATTCTGTTTGAAACTGCTTTAAGGACACACTTTTCCCCCTTTTTTTTTTTTTAATCCTACTCTTATTTTGAGAGCATACACCTCCAATATTTCTTATTGTATGTTATATAAATGCAACTTGATTTGGGAATGGAGTGCATGTGTTTAGATTCACTGATCTTTTTATAAATAATTTTTTTTCTAATGTCTGAACAGGCAGTGGTTATTGTGTTTGGGTTTTTTGTTTCGTTGTTTTTTTACTGTATTTTTCCTCTCAATGAAAGTATTGCCAGAGATACAGCAGTGGAAAAACATACAAACGGAGGCACTATGTTTCAGATTGTATTCCATGGGAGTGGTTATGCAGTATGTAATTTAGTTTCTAAAAATAATTCCAGGAAGAATTTGGTTAAACTTTAGTAACCCATGTTTAAAAATTGCATCTGCTCCTCTGTAGCAAAACAGAAAGGTTGTTCAGTACGTATGTTAGTATTTGAAATAGAGCTAGAATTGCTCTGTCTCTCTTACGGAAAACAAAAAAATTGGAAAGGTTGGAAACAGGCTTTTAAAGCAGTGGCTCTAAGAAGGGGAAGAATCCAGATGATGCAGATTCTGTGTATTTTATTACCGTTAGTGAGAGGGGAGCAAGGGGCTGTTTTTTCATTTTGATGTTTTGATTTATTGTGCCTTTTCAGAAATTACTATAGTGGTTTAATATCAGAATTGATTCTGGTAAATGTGATGGATTAAGGCTCCTAAAAGTGACCAGGTAGCTTAACAAGTCTTGCTATTGTATCACCAGTAGCAGTGAAACAACACTCCTCATGGTTTGCTACCAGTTTACCTTGACCTGGAGAGGAATTATTTGTGTGTGTGTGTGTGTGTGTGTGTGTGTGTGTACATTGGTCCAAACCAATTCTGTGTGAAACTTGCTTTTTGGTTCCCACAAAATAGGCAAGAGAATATTAGTTGTTAGGTTAGACTTAATCCATTCACAGGGAGGTGGAGAATGGCCATTGCTGGGGTTCTTTGGAGCCTCAGTTTGCTTCTTATGTTGATTCCTGTGACATGACCATGCAAAGAACGTAAGAGAAAACATCATAAATTGATTTTTCAGAGGACAACGAAGGAATCTGTTGAGACTTTTTATGGACACTGGTCTTTATAGTTTTGGAAGAGAGATTGCAAATCATGTATAATACTGAAAAATCATGAATGACGTTTGCAGATCCCAATGAATTTAAATCAATAATGCAAATTAGTTTAACAGGATTATGAAAACAGCAAAAAATAATGAAACCGAATTCAAATGAGTTGGGGAAAAATATATCTGGAAAAAAATGTTTCCAGGTGATCGTACTTGAACAGCAGTAGGACTCAGAAGAAATGATTTTTCTGGTGAAGGTTGAGTCAGTGACAAGCAAGAAAAGACTTCTGAGAAACTGATACAATTTGGTGCTGCTCATTCTGAGATGGAATGGAGAGGTTAAACTTGCTATTTCCGTAGCCCAAACATTATACTAAGCTACAGAGCTGTATGATCAGATTTTGGTCCTATCTGTGAATGCCTAAGGAGTTTTTATATGTTTACATATATATTAGTTATAATTAGCAAGTGGAGGGAGGAATGAAAGTCAGAAATGTTTGTAGGTTAACATAGAAATTGATGCCCAATTGCTATCATGATACAGATGGAAGAATTGAATAAAAATTAAAGAAAGATTACTTGATTTTCTCCCCACATTGCCTTGAGGAACAGGAAATTTAAGGAGGGTGTACAGAAAGTGTTAAAATTTGGGATTTTTAAAACCAATCTGAAGAAGTGATGATAACTTATTTTTAATATGGCAGTTCCAATGAGGCTTGCAGTTATGCTCTCTCCTTAGCTAACATTTGGCTGTAAAGTGGATGGCAGCCACTATACTGAAAAATACGTTGGTATTTCATCATATTAGTGCTATAAATCCCAAATTCTGCAGGCCTATGCTGTAGCAGCAGCCCGATGCTCTTACTGCCTCTTTTTCTCAGGGTGCCCCTGTGCATCCTCAAAACCAGATTCTAAGCATAGAGTAGACAGAAAAATCTGACAGGTTGTGAGCTTGGGCAGAATGCTATTAATGTGCTTGTACTTCATCACGTGGTAACTGCTTTTTAACAAAGAATGCTGAAGTGTTGGAAAGTAGGATATTAAGTGTCTCTTTTTCTTAATCGTGTCATCTGAGCAGTAGCTGTACTGAGAAGTCTAATGCAAACAGCAGTCATGTTGACATGCACATTCAAGTACTGATAGTTTGTTATAATCAAACCTTTAAAAGTAGCAATATGTCTTTCAAATAGGGTCAGATTCCTGCTCATTAAAAAAAAATATCAGATAATAGCCTGTTCTCATTATTGCAAATGGGCAGAATTTAGCCAAGAGTCTAAGCAGATGATGTCACTTTTATTCTCTACTACTGTTTGGACTTCAAGATACATCTGTCTTGCTATTTTCTAAAACTTAAAAACTTTGATAAATGTACTGTGCTCTTACATGCAACTTAAAATGTAACTCTCAAATACAAGAGGAAAGTAATTTTAAGTTAACAGAGTTGACCTTTTATCTGCATTAAGACAGAAGCTCTTACTATCATATTTTAAACATTGTCATTATTTTTCTAGACCATCTGTCATTCTAGGGGTGACGAATCCTTTTTTTGCTAAAACACTTCAGCATTGGCCTCACATTATCCGAATTGGAGATATTAAACTTCCAGGTAAAGTACAAATATCTTCTATAGTCCTGTGTGACAAGATCTAACTGTGTGCTTATTTATTTACGAACATATGCAATTTAGTTCAATGAATTTAGTTTAATACTAACCAAATCCTCATGGATGTAAATCTGTCAAGTGAAATTAGGCTCTTGAGTACTGTATGTCTTGTGTTGCCAAATCTAGTATATTAAATGCAAAAGATGGTAATACTCATTAGTAATAATGTTTTACCTTTCACACAATCCTGTTTTTGTATTTCTACTGATAAGGTATTAAAATGAGAAACATCATTTATTACTGATGTTAATTTTGGGATGAGTAGAATGTAATAAATCAGTCACAGCAGGTGCACAGAAAGACCCATGTGAAAGCTAAGTTTGGATGTTACAATGATATAAAAAGTTGCTTGTTGACAGTATTTTGATAATATATTTCTAATCTGGCAATATTCCAGTAATTAATTGTTCAAGTTGGGCAATTTCCTTACATGATTGAGTAGAATTTTAATTAATCTTTGGATAACATGTCAATTGCTAGCCTGTAATAAAATACTGCAGTACTCTAATTATTATTTGAAATTCCTGAATGTAGCTGTTTGCTGTGACAGGTTCACAATTCTGTTCTGAAAGTGGGAATGCATAAACATACAGTTAGGATAATACACCATGAAATTCATTTTTGTAGAATAAGTTACATTCAGTTTCTGAATACACCAAATTAATTAAGGATTACGTACTGTGTTCAATATAATTAGGCAAGGTTTTGCTTTACTTTAAAGTATCACACCTGTCCATGCTTCAGAATACCTGTGGGGGCTTGGGGGTGTGTAGGGAGGAGTTAGCTAGCTGCTCTGTAATTAAGATTTGGAAAACAGAATCTTATTTAAAATATTAAACCTCTGCAAAGCCATGTACACAGATTGCCTTCAAATTTTATATAGTTTCAAGTATGAAATTCTAAAGTTTTGGTGCAGCTATGTGAAATGCTTAGTCAGAAGTTCCAGAGATGTATCTGTCTGACCTGCCTTTAAAAAAATTTACGTTTTATTTCTTTAGGGACTGTCCTGGTTTCAGCTGAGATAGAGTTCATTTTCTTTCTAGTAGCTGGTGTAGTGTTATGTTTTGGATTTAGGATGAGAATAATGTTGATACGCACTGATGTTTTCAGTTGTTGCTAAGTAGTGTTTATATACTAAGGCAAGGATTTTTCAGCTTCTCGTGCCCAGCCAGCAAGAAGGCTGGTGGGGCACAAGAAGTTGGGAGGGGACACAGCCAGGACAGCTGACCCAAACTGGCCAAAGGGATATTCCATACCATGTGATGCTATGCCCAGTATATAAACTGGGGAAAGTTGACCTGTGGGGCGGATTGTTGCTTGGGACCCAACTGGGCATTGGTCAGCAAGTGGCGAGCAATTGCATTGTGCCTCACTCGTTCTGTATATGCCAATTCTTTTATTATTATTATTACTGTCATTTTGTTGTTGTTATTATTATCATTATTATTGTTTTCTTCCTTTCTGTCCTATTAAACTGTTCTTATCTCAACCCATGAGTTTTACTTCCCCCCTGCCCTCTCCCCCATCCCACTGGGTGGGGGGCGAAGTGAGTGAGCAGCTGCGTGGTGCCTAGTTGCTGGCTGGGGTTAAACCACGACAGGGACAGAGAAAGGGCTTGTGATTTTTTTTTTTTTTTTGGGGGTTTTTTGGTCTTTGGGGGTTTTTTTTTTCTTTTCTCCCCACTTTGCAGTTTCAATAGCAATTTATACTATTATCTTTTCTGAAGCCGAGCATCCAACTAGATCTAAAGAGGAAGGTTCTGCTGAGGCTGCAAGACTGTTATCGGAGTTTAGGGTGTCCTGGCTGGAGAAGGATATATTTGAAAAACAAACCAAAAAAACTTAGTTTGGCCTATGGAAAAGGAGACTTAAATTAATGTTCTTACAACACTTAATCCATGGCTACTGTTTTAATTTCTTGTATACAATTTTTGGTTTGGCCAAGGTACTAAAGATTTGTGCCTGAAAGCATTTACCCTAAAGGGAACAAAGGAAGATGGAATAAAATTTGAAATTAATGAAACAGTCATTCACAGCTATATAGTCAGTATTTTTCTTTGGCTGCTTTGATTCAGAAGGTTGTTCCTCTGTTTTTTTGGTTTGGTTTTGTTTTGGTGGTTTGTGGTTTTGTTTTTTTTTTTTTTTTCCAACAGGAAAGCCTTATATAAAAGTGAAAAGCCTGTATGCTGTTACTCATATGTTTACTGGATGTCTCTGGATATGTACTTGGATTCTTGTCAGTGTTTCTAATGCTTCTTACAATATTAGATAGTCTTCTAAATGAAAGCATCCATTTCTAAAAATCAGTGCAATGTATAGCACATCAGCTGTAGTATCTAGTAATAGAGATGGAGATTTTCAAGTAAGGTGGCTTTAAATGTTTTGGCAGGTGAAGTTCCAAAACAGGTGAAAGTGAAAAAACTGAAGAACCTAAAAACTTTGGACTCCAAACCTGGTAATAAGTTGCGTCAGAATTAAATTACCAGTATTTTAATTTTAAAAAGCATACCCCATTTTTCCTTTGGCTATATGCTGATTTTTTTTCTTTAGGTGTTTATACCTCTTACAAGCCATACTTGAACAAAGATGAAGAAATTGTTAAACAGTTACAAAAGGTAATACTGCAAGTCTCTTCTTAATGGAAACTGTTTTGTGGTACTGTTGTATGGTGTTTTCATTTAAGGCTGAACTCTGTCTGTTAACTGCATTCTGATTCCTTTGCCCTAATTTATAACTGGATAGATGTACACCCTCATTGTAGAAGAAGGGCTGCTGCCTTGTTAGCAGTTTCTGTAACAACATGAATGGTAGAACTCAAGAAGTTAGATTAATAATTTAGATAATTGAAGTGATTGATCAGTTCATCTGTTTTGGGTTTTCCACCTTCTGCCATCCCCCTCTAGTCTCTTTGGTTTAGAAATCTCATGCATGAGATGTGTAAGAATCAGAGCTTCCAAACTTTAGCTGATTTGCACAAGTTTGTTTATAGAAATTTCTCTTTCCTTGAATTTCTTTACATGAAAATAAAAAATCAGCAATTGAAGGGATGGGATCTATGCAAAAGGACTGGACACTATTGCTTTCCTTTTGTGGTTCAGGGTAGGGGGTGCTATGTGTAGGCTTATGGCAAATGAATACAGAAACACTGGAGTAAATATTCTTAAAGAAAATCCCACAACTACTTACATATTTTGGGGTAACAGACTTACTGTGATATTTTATTTCTTTTTTTAAGGGTGTACAACAGAAACGTCCTACAGAAGCACAGAGTGTGATTCTTCGGCGGTATTTTTTGGAATTGACAGAAAGCTTCATTATTCCATTAGTGAGTTCTTAGACTAATGGGGTTTTTGCATATGTAATACGGAATAGCTTTTTTGGTGTTAGCCTGGCTAAGTCCAGTAACTATCCAGTAACTACTCCTGGGGTCAACACTGGGTCCAGTACTGTTCAAAGTGTTCATTAGTGGTCTGGATGATGGGGCAGTGTGTACCTTCAGCAAGTTTGCTGATGGTGCAAAACTGGGAGAAGTGGCTGATACGCCAGAGGGTTGCGCTGCTGTTCTGAGGGACCTCAGCAGGCTGAAGGAATGGGCTGACAGGAACCTCATGCAGTTCAGCAAAAAGAAGTGCAAGTCCTGCACCTGGGGAGGAAAAAAACCAACCTATGCAGCAGTATATACTGGGGGCCACCAGGCTGAAAGGCAGCTTTGCAGAAAAGGATCTGGGGGTCCTATGGATGTGAAATTGAACATCAGCCAGCAATATGCCCTTGAAGCAGAGAAGGCTGATGGTATCCTGGGCTGCATTGGGAGGGGTGTTGCCAGCAGGCTGAGGGAGGTGATCCTTCCCCTCTATTCAGTACTGGTGAGGCTACACCTGGAGTATCATGTCCAGTTCTGGGCTCCCCAGTATCAGAGAGAGATGGAGGCACAGGAGAGAGTCTCATGAAGAGCCACTAAAATGGCTGAGGAACTGGGGCATCTTTCATATGAAGAAAGAGAGAGCTGGAACTTTTTAGCCTAGGGAGGAGAAGGTTCAGGGGGGGATCTCATCAATGTATACAAACATATATGAATCTGAAGGGAGGATATAACGAAGATGGATCCAGGCTCCTTTCAGTGGTGTCCAGTGACAGGACAAGAGGCAATGGGCACAAACTGAAACACAGGAGTGTTTGTCAGCCATCAGGACTGTGAGGGTGACTGAGCACTGGAACAGGTCAGGTTACACAGAGAACTTGTGGAGTCTCCATCCTTAGAGATATTTAAAAAACTGTTTGGGCATAGTTCTGGGCAGTCTGCGGGTATGCTTGAGCAGCAGGGATAAGAGGGGAGTTGGACCAGACGGCCTCCAGATCTCCCTTCCAAACTTAGTCATTTTGTGATTCTGTGAATACTATTTGAGCTACAGAAATTTACCATTTAGCTATGTCTTGACTTTCCTAAAATACTGTACTCTTACAGGTCTTTTAATTACCATACTTAGCATAAAAATGATGAAGGCCGTAGCTTAATGTTAAAAATGAAACATTTCTATACCTGGACAAAAGGTTCAGATCTCAAAAAGGAATGCTTTTTTTCTATGTGTTGCTAGACAGCATTTTCAGATGTTTGCTTGCGACATACTGTGTAGCATTTATGCAAAGCAAAACTCTGTGTCTGTGTGTATTTTATCATGGAGTAAGAAGGAAATTTCTTTAATTCTTCCTCAACACATGGAACCACTGTACACTGTTGAATTTTTTTTTATTTTTTATTTAAGTATAAGGGTGTTTCCCTTGGCCTTGAGAAATGTCAATATTGGAAAAGTAGGGTTAGAAAGTACCTTGTAATGAGAAGAGCTCTATAAGTGTATACTCTTGTAGCAAATTACTATTTGCTATGACAGCTGAGGGGATACTATGAGGTAATCTTTCTGTTAATATGTGAAAGATCAATCAATTCAACTGGTATCTTAGACTGGCTTAATTTTTTTCCTTAAGTATTTATTCTGTCTTCTAGTGGTAGTGCTTTTCCATGCAAATCATTAAAGTTTAGACATTTTTTCCCTTTTCCAGTCATATTTGTGTACTCACTGCTATTATGCTTGGCATGAGAATCTGTATCTAGCACATGCCAGTTTCTTTCATCTGCCCTGTCCAGACAGAATATTTGATTACTTGTCCTCTCAGAAATTAATTTACTTCTCGTACTTCTTTGCAGACTTACTTATCTTTGCAACTCCATTTTTACCGATGTTCTATCTGACTTTCAGACAACAATGTCCGTATCCAAAGACAGACAGCTTAGGGTTTTGTTTTGTTTTTTTTTTGTTTGTTGATTTTGGAATTTTTTTGCCATTGGATTACCTGCAGTAGACAAATTTCAGCAGTCAAACCTCCTTGGGCAGTTGTTTTATGGCCTCAGGGCAGCTATGTCCTCAGATTACAGCAGCATTTGCAGGATTCTCTAATCCTGCACCTACATAAATAAAAGTTACAAGAGACTTTTGAGAAGGCGGCAGTGTCTCTACTCAGATTCAGCGCATCTAGAACTGGCAAAAGGATTATTATGAAACTCAGCTTTATGTCTGTCTCATTTCCTGTCAGGAAGTGTTAATGGCCAACATGATGTAGCAGGGGCTACAGAATTGGCTTTCTCTTACCTGGTCTCAGTTTTCCTCGTTATTACTGCTGTTTCAGAAAAAATGGGCAAATGAAATTTAGTATGGGTGGCTATTTCAAACACTTAAAAACCTTTGGGGAAAAATCACATATACAGAGCTCTTCACTAGATCATAAAATCAAAGATGAATGTCGGTTAACTGGGACATCTGATGCAACCCCACTGCTCAGAACAAGGCCTATATGAATATATAGCTAAATATCAAACCTTGCTTTACAAGTATAGGTATAACTTTTGGACTAATTCAACACACTTATGTCCCCTTATTCTAGAGGAAGCTTTGGTCATTATCCTCATGCTTTGTCTTCCTCAGAGGCAGTAAATACAGCTTCTAGATCACTGGTGACTGCAATGATCACGCACAGTACTGCTCTTTCCCCAAGCCTTGGGTTTTAGAGTACAAGACATTTTCATGATGACTTGCCATTTCTCAGTCCTGCTCTGCTTGACCATAAACCTGATACAGTTTGACATCTGGCAGGGGGGGGATCCCAAAACAACACTGAAAGCTTTCAGAGTTTGTGGCGTTTGTGTTTCCCTTTTTTTTTTTTCTTTTTTTTTTCTGTCAACCTCAGCAAAGAGCCTCCAGTTTTTGTTCTAAACTGTAGTAGAGGTGAGTCCAGTAATCTGAAGGTTCATAAACAGACTAATGGAATCTAGTTCCTTCAACCATAATTTCTGTTCAGGAATTTTCTTTCTGATTTTGTTGTTTTATCTTTGTCTATTAATGATAAGCTAGGGTTTTTTCCTCAGTGTCTCATGAGAATGGATTCTAGAGAGTAAATCTCAAGACTTTCTGTTTTCCTCCCAGCAGTTTCTATACACTGTTCCTGTAAAAGAATGATTCTTACAAGAGTTTGCTTTATCAGGTGATAATTTCTTCTGGTTTTGGGTGCGATAAAACAGATTCTGAGGAAACTCTGCAAGTTCAGGTGATCCTGGAAGATGCTATTACACTTTTCCAAAGGAGAGACTAGTACTGAACATTGAGATACATCTACTTTGTATCAGGGCGTGACACAGAGAATATTTTTTTCAGTGGATCAGAGTATTTTATTGTACAGCATCATGCTATTCTGGAAATGACAGATATCTGGTGTTTTGCTCTCTAAACATGGTACTTCACCTGTTCAAATCTCTAAGCCTAAGTTAGGGGACAAATTTTGTCTGATTTCTAACCAGTTGGCAGAGTTCGTTGAAATGCTTAATGTTCATGGATTTATTTTTTTTCTTCTGGACAGAGATCTCAGTTTGCCAAGACAAATTGTAAAATAGGAATTCATATCTAATGTAATAGTAAAAACTTACCTGTCTTGTAAATTGAAATGCTGCTGTAGTGTTTGCAGACTCCTGACATACCTTTATGCCGACAAATGGATATTGTGTTTGGGTTGCTGAATTCATGCAGATTTGTAGGCTTTGACTTGCACTGAAATGGAAATTTGTCATGTTTTCCAATTTGTGCATTAGGATAATGATAAATATGTTCTAATATGCTCTTACCTAGCATTTGGAGGTATGAAGTCAGAGCAATGATGGACTTCACCAACCCAAAAAGTTCTGTATGAAGTTAAGTCATTTCTCTGGGCAAGTGGTTAAAATTGGGAAGTGATACCTTGGGCATTGGATGTTTACGTATCAGCTGTCTCATTCTGAGCCCTCTGAACACTTTTTGTGGATGACCTGAACATTTCATCATTTTAGAGCATGCATGATCAGTTCCAATTTCTGTCCACAAGAATTGGGACATCCCAAGAGACTTGTTTGTCCTTAGGTGTTAATGATTAGAGGAGTTTTTCCTTAAAATTTGTCTTTCTCTGTAATTTTGAGACAGGATGGGCATGTAGGGTGAATCTAAAACCTTTCCCTGGCATTCCCCCCCATCTTGCTCAAACTTTCTCTTCAAGTAAGAAACTTCATATGTTTTCTGTCACAAATCTTAGTTTATAGGGCGAGATCACCCTTTACATTCTCTGCCACAAGAAGAGTATCTGGAGGGGTCCTTTGTTTCTTCAAAAGATAGAACTAGACTTTTCATAATGTTATCAAAGCTGATTATGTTCATAGATCAAAAGTTATGACCATTTGCGTACAGACACTCTCAAAATGTATAGCAGCTTGTTCTGATGTGCTTGTGTGAGCTGGCAGAGCAGGGCTGCTTTGTGTCATCAGACCTTAAGCTTCAGCAGTGGCCTTGCCGAGAATTGTCTCCACTACTCATACATTAGATAGCCTTTCGGGGCTCTAGCCATGCCTTTGCCAAGCATTGCTACTGCAGAGATGCCCACAGCTGATACAGCATTTTGTAGGTTAGTTGTATTTTTAATGTTTGTGTGAGGGACTCTGAAAATCACTTCCAAATACTTGATACAAAGTGGGATTACTTTTGGAATCACCCATGATATGAAGGTACCTGTGGACTGTCACTAAAGAAGAGAGAGATTATTTACTAGTGGCTGGAGTTGAGGATATATATATTCCATGTATACTTTTGCTTCCTGTCCTCCTTTCCCTCATGTCCTTCTTAAATCTTGCTGACATAAAGTTCTGTAGTTGGGAAATACAAACGGTATTAGATAAGCTCCTTATGCTCTCATGGGGTAAATATGCATGATCCCACCCTGTACCAATACTTAGAAGAGAAGAGGCTGTGGTCACAAGTGATAAGTAAACATACACGTGGACTGTGTATCTTTAAGACTGGTAATGCAAACAACCTTTCTTTTTCCTTCCCCTAGGAACGTTATGTGGCAAGCCTAATGCCTTTGCAAAAATGCATATCACCATGGAAGGTAAGGAAATATAATTCAAATGAGCTAGAAATTGGTGATTAGAGAAAACAGTTATGGTATGTGAATGATTTTTTTTTTTTTCTTTTCCATAGAGTCCTCCACAGCTGAGGCAGTTTAGCCAAGATGACTTCATGAAGACACTGGAAAAAGCAGGACCACAGCTCACATCAGGTTTAAAAGGAGACTGGATAGGACTTTACAGGTCATTTCTTTCATCACCATAAAAAAAATAGTTTCTATAAATGAAGACAAATCAGTACTACATATGCTCTTTCCTGAGCAAACTTAATATTGATTTGAATAAGACTTACTTTTAGAATATATGCTTTAATAGGAGTTGATAGTGCTTAGTATACCTTACTTGCTTAAATCTCTTTCTCTGTAACCTGTTAATGGTTTTCATAAGATGCTACTAACACTACAGGTCTCTGTATACCAGTATTATTTGTGCTTTTATTTCTGGTTCTAACTTGATTCCTCCTTGTAATCAAACACAAAGATAAAAATGAGGATATTTCAAACTGAGCCTTGCTTTTTTCCTGACAAAAATTCCTAATCTTTATTGTTTTTCAGACACCTTTTCTTTACATTGTTTTCTCAATCCTTGTCTTGATTAATAGAAGCACTTGTTATACTCCACTTCAGAATATTACATTTTTTTGAAAGTAAACAGAGAAAGGGTCCTAATATCTTCTTCAACCTCAAACATAATTAATTTACATTTCATGATGTAGAAAAACAGTGTTAGCAAAATTGTAATTAAAATATAAAATGTATTTTGCTTCGGTATTTTACCAGGCATTTTTTGAAATCACCAAACTTTGATGGTTGGTTTAGAAGCCGGCAGAAAGAAATGACACAGAAGTTGGAGGCCCTTCATTTAGAAGCACTCTGTAATGAGGTTAGAAAAATGTGTGCTTACGATTATATTTATCATCTTGTAATAAAAATATATTCTCCCTCGGGTCAGTTTTACTTCTGCTGTTTTCCTTGGTTGAACATAAAAATATTGGCAATTTTGTGAAGCCTGGTCTAGCAAAATGTGATTTTGTTAACCAAGTATAAGCTAGAACTAACATAGCGAAAGAGAACAATATGAAATATAGTTTGTTTGTAAAACGTATCTTTAGTATTTTTTTTGTTTTGTTGTGTATTTTGAAATTGAATACCCACCCCCCTGCCATCCACCCCCAAAAAAGTTTTTCCTCTTACTTGATAATGTTACTTTATTCAGCTTCCTTCCTTGGCATTTTATTTGATAACACATACCTACTTGTGATATCGTTTGTAGCTTTGAAGGTATAAACTCAGTGAGTACCACAGAAAATTGACAACTAATTAGATATGGATAGTAAATAAGCCTACAACTGATCCATAGTAATTGGAAGCTGAGAAGTGAAAACTGTTTATTCATAGATAACAAAATGCCACATAAATGATCTTATGTTGCAAGATCCATTCTTTACTTAAGCTGAAGTGGGTATCAGTGTAATTTGAATTGGAACAATGATAAAGAAAGGTATTGGAAGAGGAGAAGAGATTGTACAGCTAAAGAGAGAATAGGAAGAACAAAAAGAAGTAAGTCAACACCACAACTTTAAAACAAACAGAAAAATTGCACCGGTTATTTTAAAATAAGCCATTGATTTTTATCCCTTGCCTTGTCAATTCCCAAACAGTACATTGTAGCAACCCAAAGAGATTGTTCAAACAGAGCAGCCCAAATAATTTGCAGGGCAATAGCTAGGTCAATTATATCACCTAGAATCTGTCCAACTATATTTGACATTAACTTACTGCAAAGAAATGTGTCACAAATTTATTGCTGACTCTGCCCCTTATTAGCTTTTTCTTTTGATCTAAGTGTTAACATCTTTCTGAGCAAATGTCCTTAATAGGTGAATAGTAAAGGGGTAGGGGAACAGAACTTCCATAAGAAAATTAACCTAATGAGTATATTTTACTAGTTATTGACTATGTAATCTCCTTTAATGCTGTAGAAACAAGAAGTGCTGCCTGGCACTATTTTCATATTTCATTGTGCTGGCAGATCCAATTTGGTAAACATTCACTGCCATTTTGCATTGTAGATGCTATTTTTGAAACTAAGCCTGTTTGGCATGATTTTAATTTTTTTTAATTTGTTTGTATTGTGTTTGTGTGGTAGTCTCCTGTTATACTAAGTCCTGGGCAAACATGCAAATAAAGCAGATTTTGCAGCTCACTGTAGAGACAGTACATGAGTAAAATATGCTTAGTAAATGGCATGAGAATAAGGACAAGGAGAAGACCTATTCTGAACAGTGGGTGTGAATCAATACTACTTTTGAAAATTATGTATGTTGCCATAAATATTTCAGTGCTTAATTTTTATTCTTTTAGAACTTGGTTTTCTGGAGTCAGAAGCATACTGAAGTAGAAACGGTGGATCTTGTCTTAAAGTTAAAGAATAAACTGGTAAGTAACTGAATTGAACATGGCTCAAATGTGCATGACTTAACTAGATAAAAATATAAAAATATTATATGGTTGTGTTTACAGGAACTTTAAGAATATTTTCATTTAAGTTCTAGGTAGCTCAAGTAATCAATCATTCAGGTTTTTAAAACAAAAACAGTTCATTTTAGCCATGACTGAAAAGTTAGCTAGCTTCCCAACATTGTCCAGCTATGTTGGAAGCATTGCACTGATCTTGTTTTCTTTAAACTAGTTGGAATTTTGTAACTGATCTAAGTGGGAGCAAGGCTGAATACTCAAAGAAGAAAGTCAAACTTTCTTGTGATTTACTAAAAGTCCAAATCAGCATTAGCTCATGCTGTTGTGTGGTTGTTGAGGAAACCTGCTATTGTCCAAAGTCCTACTTAGTCAGTAAATAAGGAATTAATTTTCCAGATTCGGTAACATGTCACTTTGGTGTGTCTTTAGGTAAACTTGCATTTTCAGTAGCAATCATGTTGTATTGTACCTTTGCAGTTGCAGGCTGACAGAGAACATCTTCCTGTGAAAACTGACACACTGAAAAAGCTGCAGATGCACATCAATGATATTATACTAGCACTTCCAGATGACTTACAGGACATCTTGCTCAAAACTGGCACAACGTGATTTCTACTGGGCTATTTTTGTGCAGAAAACAAAAGGGCAAATACAGTTTCACAGAAGACAGTGGCTTACCAAGTTTGGAACATGGCTCTGAATAGTATATTAACACTACAAATGGACTGTACTAATAGTATAGCCCACTATACTGTTTTCACTGTTTTTTCCACTTAAATACCAATGCAACTGAAGGAATTCCTGTGTCTAATGATGTTTGAAATAAGTGCTCTTAAAGAAAAATGTGGGCATAATGAGACTATACCACAGTATAGGACCACAGTGCAGTGCTGGCATTGCAGAATGTTTTCCAATTGGTGCTGCTATACCCAATCCTGTTAACTCAGGGGTAAGCAATATTGATCCTGTACTGTCCTGTTGATGTAGTACCTGATGGGGGTTTTTGGGGGGTTTTTTGGTTTTTTTTTAAGTTTTCATCTAGTTCTAAGTCCAACTGACATATTATGTGACTTGGTCAGAATACATTATAGTTGAGGTATTTTACTGGTAAATCATTGCTTTGAAAACTTTTAGGGACAGTTGAAATAATCAGATCGGTTCTTAACTTTCTTCCTTTCTCCTTCTTACCGTCTTTCCAAAACCATACTAATTTAGCATCTTTAAAGAAGAGAAGGCAGCTGACAGAAATTTCCTGAAGAGAAGTCTCTTCCATTCAATGTCAGTTAATTAGGGTGCTCTCACTCACATGCCTTAAAGTAATTGTATACTAATTGGTGGTTTTAAACTGCTGACATTCAGGATTTAAAGTGTATCACTAGTGTAAATGTAAGCATGCAGTATTCATCACAGGAAATAAACACGGTGTTCTAATATGGATTTTAAAATCAGTTATTTCAGTAGAGTTAGCTGATATACAATCTGTTTCAGCTGGAGATCATACCAGTCAGCTCCTGTTATAATTTTGTTTGTTTGTTTGTTTTTTTACTTATACCAGTTTGAGGAGTTAATGGGGCTGGAGGGAGATGATGTTGGCTTCTGCTGGAAAAAGCCTATGGAAAGGTTGAACTGTGGCAAGAAAAGATTGTAGCATAAACTTATTCTCAGTATATGCATATAGCAGACATGCATAAAGAGTAATTTCCTCTTGCATATTAACCAACAAGAATGTGATGTTTATCTTCTTGAACAAGTTTCAGTGGTATATAAGAACTCAGCTGCTCCACATGCAGTGTTATATTTTGACCAGTTTCAAGTAGAATAAACTTAATGCTGTAGTGTACACACAGCATACACTTTTATATGACAAGTGGATCACAGTTATAAAATAAACTCTGCTTTTAAGTGCTTGGATAGAATTTTTAAAAACTTAGGACATAATCCTGCTTATAAGAATATGCTTTTGTATGATAAATATTTCATATCATCTTTCTAAAAATGTCTTATTTAGATATAAAGTGTCACAATGGTATTTTTATGAAAATAATGTATTTTAATACTGTTATGGTTTGTATACAATTACTCATGACCAAAAGTTTAATGTATCTATTATGTTACTTAAACTACACCACTTCAGCATTAATTTCTAACTTGCCAATTTTTTTTGCACACCCTGATGAATAGCATTTCTAATCTAGAAATTAGTAAGTGGCCATTCTTATACTAAATTATCTTAAATACTTAACCTGGAGCACTGTGTAGTTTCTCGTAACCATGTAAACTGGTAACAACTATGATAACTATCACATGACTGCAAATATGTATTTTTGTAAAAGAAAATAAAGGGTTTGATTTTTATTTTTTTTTCTTTGGAAGTTAATGTGACTTAGATGATGGATGTGATTTGTTTGTTTTTCCCCTCTTGTGTGTAAGCAAAGCTGTTCAGCAGCTTATAGAGGCTGCTGCTTAGTCTGACTTGATGAAGCTGTACCTCTTAGGTGCCCAGAACTACCTGATGTGATGGAGTAGTGGTGTAGTTTGATCACACATCATAGTTGTAATATGATAGAGCTGCAGGATCCTCAAGAAAGCAAGTGGCAGGGACTGGCTTCCAAGCAAAATTCACCCAGTCTGCAGTTTATTTCCTGTACACATCTGAGAGGCCTTTGAGAAACATGGTAGTGGGAAGTAGACTGCAAGCAAAGCTCAATTCCAATTTCTTTAATGGAGTTGGTATTAGTTTAAATCCCTGAATAACTAGATGCTTAAACAGAATTAGAGTCTTGTTCAAAAGAAAGGCAAAAAGAAGAGTTGTACTGGGTTGTTTGCTGTCTTCCTCAGTGACTTGTAATGCTTTTAGTAATGGTGGTTGAAAAGGACCTTAACCTATAACCACAATCTAGTCACTACAACAGGAACAGCCTTGTTGCAGGTTTCTGATCTTGTCCTGTCTCCCTGCAGTCCTCTTAAACTGAGCATGCATGTTTTGACTAGGGATGCTTCAGCCATTCATAGTGTTGCAGCAGCAGAATTGTATCTGTTGCAGAAAGTAGTTGCCCACTTGGTGATCTGGAATTTTCCCACCCCTGTTTTTTGTTTTGGTTTTGTTTTCTTAATTCAGTGTGCTTAAAATACAGGTAAAGAGCCTATACCTCATTCATCTGAGGCTTGACAGCTAAAGGACTGTGCACAAAACTACTAGTTTCTGTAACTTTGCCTCAGTCTTAACCTGACTTTAAAAAAAAAATATATATATATATGTATGTATACCCAAACATTGTTTGGACCAGGCTGGGAAAAAGTCCCTAAGTGAAGGAGAGAATACCTGGGTGATTAGAAAGGGTCCTAGAAAAGAGGTAGCAGCTGTTCAATAAAGAAATGCTAAAGATAAAGGGCCCCAGTTGGGTCATCAGAAAAAGTTAAGACTGCCTCAGTTAGTGTAATAGGAGAGTAAACTGGACACACACAAGCTTTGAGACTTCTCAGATTTCTTTTAAACAATGTAAAATAACGCCAAGAACCAAAACACGAGATGGAGTGCAATCAAATATGGTAAAGATGCAGCTAGTCCTTCAACAGTCCTAACATCCATGAGCTGAGTCAAGGAGTGTGAACCAAAAATATGTTGTGAATAATAGTTAAGTATGATTATACAGAGCAACCACTTAGGTTAATGTTGAAATGCTGATTATTGATAATCACTTCTAAAGCAAATGTTTGTTAGATTGTACTCAAGCAACTGAAATAATGGAAGGTATCTGTGAATTACCTAGCTATAGTAAGAATATGCCAGCTTGATGGTCTGGGAAGTAACCTTTCAGAGAGAGTCCTTCAAATATTTTGTAGTACACTTATCTTCAGCTAAGTTCAGGGAAGCTTAATTTCCATGGCCAAAAACAAAAGTAAAAATGCTGAGTGCTCTGAATAGGAAATTGTTAAGTATTGGAAGCCTAGAACTGGACTCCTTAAAACTATGAGGAAATTGAAATCTAATAGTTCATCAGGATCATATTAACATCTTGCACACTAACTAGATGTAAGTTTCAAATAAGTGATATTTTAATTTTATAAAAATACAACCCTCAATCTTAATTTACAACAGATTTTTGGTTCAGAAGAACATAATTTAAAACCTGAGTAAGACTCAACATGACACGTAAGAAAACAACAGCCTAAGTTGAGTCTCACTCACAGTTGTCTACTGTTAGGATCTGGTCCAGGACTGTCTCTTTTATCACGACCATTAAAGATGTTTTTCTTTAATGGAAGATAAGTAAATAGCTTCTGTTTGAAAAATGTTAGCTCTTGTGTACTGACATAGTTTCTAATTCACACAGGTAGGCAACAACTCCCTTGAACATTTGTAGGGCTTTTGATTGAACCAATGCTTCCTTGGGATAGGGAGCTCAGTCACTTAGGTATTAATGCAGCTCATCTTACGTTGCCCCAAATTTAATTACTGCCATACCAGGGGCTTTTTACAGTAGCTGTGAAAGACGCTGTTACAGCTGGTTATGAACTCAAACATATCTCTCAAAAAATGGCATGCTTCTAAAAAACCATGGCTTGTTTCAGTTTTATTCCCATCTAACTTCCCTCGATCTGTTTGCTGCTTCCTGGCCGAGAAGCCGTGTGCTGTTTTGGTGCCAAGACCACGCCGTGTTTCGCCTTGACTCTGCAGCCGAGGGTCCAGGTCACAGAAACAACGTAAGAAAAAGATCCTTCGGTAATCAGCGTTCCCGTGATAGAGGTTGGGTTTTTGTAATTACCTGGCTCTGTTGCTGCTAGGGTGTTTTTGGGGGTCCTCCGAGGATTTGGTTTGCCCTGAACCCCCTGCATCTCTCTCATGCTCTGAGCTCTCCTGCTGCCCTGGGGCAGAAGACCCTGTTGGCTGTCGTGCCTCAGCCTCAGCCGAGCGGGAGCTGCAGTGAGGTGAACTACTCGGGTGTGGGGGTGCCCCGGGGAGCGGCGGGCCGCTTGGCCTCGGCCTCGGCCTCGGCCTGAGGAGCTGCCTGGCGCCCGGCGGACTACATTTCCCGGCATGCCGCGCTCCGCCGTGCCCCGGGCGGCCGGAAGCTGCGGCGAGGCGGGCTGGACGCCGTCAACTACATCCCCCGTCGTGCGCCGGCAGCGGCGGTTAGAAGGAGCGAGGCGCGGAGCGGGCGCAGCGCTCGCTGGGAGTAGTAGTCCCCGCCGCCGTTGGGCGCTCGGTCCGTGTGGCGAAGGGTGGTTCCGCGAACGGGGGATGTGGCGAGCGTGACGTGATTCTGTCCGCGTTGGAGCCGGGGCGGCCGTGGCGAGCGTGACGTGGCAGAGAACGAGCGAGCGAGCGAGGTTCCCCGGTCACAGAGCAGCAGCTGCCGCCGTCGTCGCTGCCGCCCGCGCCTTATAAGTCGGCGCCGCCGGGCGAACCCCGCGCCTCAGCAGCCTGCCTCCTCGCTCGCGGAGGGATCCGTGAGCGCAGACAGGCGCCGGGCCGCGCTCCCCCTCCCTCCCTCTCTCCCTTCCTCCCTGCCTCCCTCCTCGCCGCGCTCCTCTCGCCGCCTGCGCCGCCGCCCAGCCCCGCGCCGGAGCCGCCATGGGCCTCACCATCTCCTCGCTCTTCTCACGCCTCTTCGGCAAGAAGCAGATGCGCATCCTCATGGGTAAGGGGCGACAGCGGCGCGCTGCCGCCGCCCCCC